GGGGGCTCTCATGTAAAAATGGTGAATAGTTCCCTTCCTAGAGGAAATTTCATTCAAACCTGATTAAATGTACTAAGGTAGATGGTTGGCAATGTAACATTCATTATTTCTTGACTATGTCCTGGGAGGTTTTTCTTTTGGAAGGCGCTATGTTATGAGCAAACCTTTTCATATCTAGTTCACATATGCGCAAAAAGAAGAGTATGTACTCTCTACTCCATTTTCTCTAAAGTAATTCAACATTTTCTATTTCATGATACAGTTTCGAGTGAGAAAATGATGCTATAAATGTCACTGCGTAGTTTCTGGTCTATTTTATACTAGTTTAAAGTAAAATATACCATTCCCAATTGTACTACTTTTGGCAACTAACTGAAAATGGTGAAGCAGACATGCTTTTGAGATACCTAATAAGCTATAAAAGAAAAGAGCCCACGCCAACACAGTGAGTTTGGTAGTACTTAAAGATTAGGTTTGGCAGGAAATAGAGTAGAAATTACGCGCAGGGAAGGTCTCAAAGTCTCATCTTACTTTGTACATGCGTCTGTGATATTTTTGATAAGAGGAGAATCAAAATTAAGTGCTTGAGGCAAGTAAATCCTGGTGCAACTAAGAGAATTGTTTGTTCTAATCCTGACCTTCACTTTTTCTCAACCATTTTCTGCACAAGAATATAGCTGCCTGACCATTGATCCACGCCCATCCACCTCTTGTGAATAAAGTCTTGAGGAAAGGCAATAAGTATACCGTTTTCTTTTTATGCGCTTTATGTAATAACTATAAAAATGGGCTCGGTGCACTAAGTTTCGGCTATGCGCGGGGTCCGGGGACCACAAGAGTTTATTGTACTACCATGCATTTCTACACGAGGTTGTTTTTACGGCTCGAACCCGTGACCTCCTGGTCAACATGACACAACTTTACCATTTACGCAAAGCTCCCCTCACTTTATGTAATGACTATATGAGAGGAAAACCAAGCATGAACCTTACAGATTCAAACAGGCATAGGACAACAAAAGTATATCATCCGGAAAATAAGACATATAAGAACAAAAACAATTACGTACTACCTAATTGGAATGATGGGAAAAGGAAGGTGAGGAATGCTGGGAAGGGAAATAAACTAAATTTCACAAAGATGGATGAATTATTGACCTGATATTATCTCCTTCTGTCTGAAACTGATCAGGCTTGGATCCAAGTTTCATAAACTTCATCTTGGTGTTTAAAGTATCTATTTACCTACTGTTTCTCAGTTCTAAACTTTCAATAATTCAGAAGACAAAGCTAAGGAAGGTTAAACCAAAAGTGCTATTATTTCCAAACTTCACAAGCTTTCAAGAAGGAAGAGAGATGGCTTCTTTACTGATTCTAGTTGTAAACTCAACCACAACCAACCACAAAATGCCAGTCCAAGATATTTGACCAACCGACTCAATACCGCAAATTTTGAGCTCTCAAAATCAGTGTTAATGCCACATGCTCACCACTGATACCACCGCCCTTCCTCTATATATATAAATATTTAAACAACTTCCCGTGCTTTCTCTGAAAAAGCAAACACCAGAATCCACATTCCTCTATTCAATGCTCCTCTCTCACCAATGAAGTTGAAGGACCTGTAATAACAAAGAAACATCATCTTGGTATGTTTTCAAGAACATAACAAAATTGTTGACAACAAGTATCAATTTGGTCCGCAAGCGTCGCATAGATATGAACAAACATGCACAAGTACCCAAAAATGTGTTCTGGACTGGGAAGGGAAAACAAAGCAAAATTGCCTAAAACAGAGCATCACATTGAACATATAACTTGACACACAAAATCAAACTGAAAACGTGCCTAAAGAAAACCACCAATACAATTACAACAGACTCTTGTCCCAAAGCCATACCCCCCCCCCCCCAAAAAAAAAGCAAGAAATAATCTAGAAATCCCGATCTAGGCAAGCAAAGTTGGTTGATAAAACCAAGTGCAATGCCAAGTAAAAATCAGAAGAAAAAAAAAGAAGAAGACTCTTTAGAAAGAATACCAAAAATAATCCAATTCAACGTGCATTTTCCGATAAAGAAGAAAGAGGGGATTTTTTTTTTGAATTATTTGAGTGATTAATCTCCAAGACTCACCGCAAAAGCTACGAAATTTCGTGGGAAGTAAAGGCAAATCAATCAAAACTGAGCAACGGAAGAGAGCAGATATACAGTACAAAAGCACAAGAGGAAGCAGAAGAACTCAAGGGACAAAGCCAAGAAGAAATTCCAAAGGACACAAACTACTATCAGCAATCAGAGAAAAGATGAAGGAACAAGAACACAGAAAACTAACCATGAAAAAGATGAGTTGTCGCTAATCTAATCTAAATCTTTGCCAGCCACCAAAGCAACACCGTGTATTCACAAAAAGCCAATCTCAAGAATGTTTCCAAACACTTAAGAATCAGCACCACCGTCCCCACCACCACTATTTCTCAGAAATCCCAGTACAGAAAATCAAGAAAACTACTAAGTACTAATTACTCTACAGAATAGCTAGCTGTATTTAGCTTCTTTTTAAGTGGCTGAAACGGGAAAGTGGGGGTGCCTTCTTTTTTGAGCAAATAAAGGTATTAAGAAACATCCTCCTCCAATCTCTAATTATATTCTTTCTTCTCTCCTCTTAGTATTGGCTACAGTATTACGCACGCCAATCTGACACAATCTACTCACTTTCTTGTTGCCTAACTCTTTCCCAATTAAACAACACTTTCTTTTACCCGTATTGTTAATAGTTATAGCAATAAGATAACGACCCTTCCATTTCCCTCTCCTACTTTTATAACGGTGCTTTCCATCTCATTTTTCTCTTACATTATATATTCAAAAATAGCGTCAGTAAAGTCTGTTTTTTTTTTCTGAACTAGGTTAGCCTGTGAATGGCCTTTGTTGGGTTGAAATATATTGGTCTATATATTGCAAGGTTAGAGTTATAATTATTGAGCTGCTTCAATGTGGAATTAGCAAAGTATAATTAATCTCAATATAGATTACAGATTAGTGCAAAAGTAATCTGATTATGCTGAATTGTCTAAATGCTAAAGCCGACTTAAACGAAACGGACTTTAATAATTACAAGGAAGTACTAATACACATAGTTGACCCAAAATAATTTTAAAATTAAAGCATAATTCGTTGATTAATGCTCCTCCAGTCCCAAATTAGTGGTTTAAATAAATTGACCTTTGTTGAATTATATTTAACTCTTTTATAAACAAACAGAAAGACATTAATTACTTTTATATCAGTTTTAGTTTTAGTTTTCAGTTAATTTTTCTTGAGCCGATGGTCTTTCGGAAACAACCTCTTTATTCCCTCGGAATAAGGATAAAGTTTGCGTCTCACTACCCTCCCTAAATTTTACTTGTAAAATTTCACCGAGTTATTATTATTGTTGTTGTTTTCAATTAGCTGAGTGTTTATTACGTGAAACGTTTAAAAAAGAGATATAAGATTGCGAATTTGGTCACACGAATGTCATAAACAAAACTATACAAAATATTTGAAGTGTTGATTGATTGGGACAATGTTACATCAAAAGTAAATTTGAAGCCAGTAATATTTATTAGTAGGAACTATGAAATAAGGACTGGACGATAGGGTGGGTGGCACATGGGTCACTCATGGCTTAAAACATAGGAATTAGGACTGCGTTTCTTTTAAGATTTTTTTACCTCATATACCAAAAGTTAACCCCTTATTTACTTTAAATAAATATTATTTAAAAAAATTACATTTTATAGATACATTTTAATGTTTGTAGCAAAATATCTAATTTTGGTTACTTCCTACGCTTAAGCCACTAAATACGCTATTCAGTTACACTATTTTCTTTCTCTCTCTACTTTGATACATGTCATTCTCTTCCTCAATTCCCTGAAAACACGATACTCAATCTCAAAATTACTCTCACCCACATCATCTATCATTAGTCACCTTTCCAAATTTCAATTTGTCCAGGACCCACGCTCTCTTCTCTCTACTTTGCTAGGGTTTCGATACACAGATCCCATTTTTTCACTCACTCTGAATCATCTCGATCCAGTAGTATTCCATCTAGGGTTTCGTCAATCTCGATCTGAAAATGGCATCTTTAGCGGCAGTTTCGGCGCCCCTTGCTGCTCCTTCATCTAAAACCGAGACAAATTCCTCTCACCCATCTCAAAATTTCTGTTAATATATTTTAATGTATTTTCAACGTATCATGCTATATTTTCATGTATTTCATTGTATATATTATTTTTTTTTCCATTGTAATTCAATGTATTTCGTTGTATTTCATTGTATTCACTGTCTTTTTTTCCATTGTATTTGAATGTATCCCGCTGTATTGTATGTATTCATTGTATTCACTGTCTCGCTATATACCATGAATGTATTCATACGTTTTTTTAATTAATATAATTTATGTATTCCGATGTATTATACAATTTCTCTGAAGATTGCTATGTTTTTGGGGTATTTTTCGGTTGAGAATCTTTTTTATAACTGGAAATACAAAATTTGTATGTTATAATTGAGTTTGTTGAGTTATATTAGGAGTCTATCATGTTAATTGATTCACTTTCCATTTAAAAATAATGGTTTCACGCTGAATACAGTCGAATAAAATAATCTGTTCAGCTGTAATCCCATGTTTCACGCCATAAATACAGTCGAATACACTCGAATATAACAACTGATTAACTGGACTTCCCTGATTCACGTCTATTTTTGCTATTATTTACAATCCGTAATATAGCAGATGATATGTGTACATAGCTAATTACCAATAAAAGATAATGTTTTATGAAAATTTCTCTTTCTTTTTAGTTTAGATAATTAGACTTTCCCTCGCTTTTGCAATTTAGTATACACAAAAGACTTGGAAAAAATAACCATTTCAGCGTAATTTCCACGTTACATTTGAATGGTCAACCAACTTCTCCCAATGAGAAAACTTAGTAATAGTTTGAGAGAATTCTCATTAACTAATGGATTGTAAATATTGAACTTATCATCTTTTAATTTAACAATTATGTACAGATCTATTCAATGCGACAAACTTTTTCTTAGCATCACGTTTTGCTCTCAAGAGCCAAATTAAATTTGACCCTTAATAAACTTCTATAGCCATTTTCATAAGAGAAATATTTGTAACGACATAAATGCTTTCTACCGGTTAATACATGAACTATAAATAAAAGACCAAGATCTCCTCTGAATTATAAAAGATTATTCATACATAGTATAGTTCAAGCGACATATTTCATATTTGGCTGCCTCGATCACAAACTAAAATTTAAATAAGAAAAAGTTAAGGAACAATTTGGAATTTTAACCTAATTATACTATAATAGAAACCTATTTACCGCCTTTATATTTACTAATTATATACAAAATCATAAAAAAGAAGAAATTCAAGATCCCGTAAATCTAGCCTATCAGTTACATGACACCTAATCCCCATTTCCAATAGTCCTCCCTACATTTAAGATTCTTTCATTTTCCAAAGAATTGCAAAAACATCTCCTCTCTTTCTTAACAATTACCCAAAATTGTTCTTACTCACAGTAAGAAATTTCGTTTACCCACTGTTATCCAAAATCTTGCTTACCTAAAATCTCGCTTACCCATTGTTACCCCCCTAAAAATGCAAGTTCTTTTCCTCTTCCAAAGCTTTTGAAATTCAATTTCTCTTTTTCTTACTAATCACCCAAAATCTCTATTTCTTATTAATACAATGCAAACGAAATTCAGAATATTGCTCTAGAATCAAGTTGTGGGTAAATTTTGAATATTATTTTCTTTCTTTCTAATATCTTTATTGTATTTGACTTGTATATGATACATCAATACCCAAAATAATACTCGATAAAATACTAATACAATTATAATATATTTTTAGTGTAGAGTTGCGATTGAAACTTGACGATGAAGATAATAATTGTATCACAATTTTTCAGAAATGTATCGCGATTGTATTATAATTGTATATATCATAATTGTTGTAGGAACGGTATTACAAATGTATGATAATTGTATATTCATTATATATTATTACGAGCAATTGTGATTTTCTGACGTATTTCACAGTTTGTATCACAAATATGATAATTGTATATTAATTTATCAGTATTGTATCAGGTATTATTTTGGATACTAATATACCAGATACAATTGTGATACAAGCATGATATATATTATTACGAGCAATTGTGATTTTCTGACGTATTTCACAGTTTGTATCACAAATATGATAATTGTATATTAATTTATCAGTATTGTATCAGGTATTATTTTGGATACTAATATACCAGATACAATTGTGATACAAGCATGATATATATTATTACGAGCAATTGTGATTTTCTGACGTATTTCACAGTTTGTATCACAAATATGATAATTGTATATTAATTTATCAGTATTGTATCAGGTATTATTTTGGATACTAATATACCAGATACAATTGTGATACAAGCATGATATATATTATTACGAGCAATTGTGATTTTCTGACGTATTTCACAGTTTGTATCACAAATATGATAATTGTATATTAATTTATCAGTATTGTATCAGGTATTATTTTGGATACTAATATACCAGATACAATTGTAATACAAGCATGATATATTTATGTTTGCATTGATGTATCTCATACAATTCAAATACAATTATAAATTAAGTTATCATACAATTTTTGAATATTTTTTAATAATATAAAACTGTCGAAAATGGTGGGAAGAGAGAAGATGGAGATTCTGGGCGTAGATTAAGTTTTAATGTAAAAAGAGAGAGAGAGAAGAGGAGAGGGACAAAAAGAAAATAATGTAATTGAATCCCTTAATTGAAGGCACTAATAATAGGGTGAGAGCCTTTTAAGAAGCAATATGCACAATTTGTAAGAAAAACTTAAATACTTATTAAAAATTGTAAAATATAGAGAACATAGGTAAATAAATTTCTAATATAGTATAACTAGGTAAAAATTCAATTATAGATAAAATTTGTAGTGTCAATCCAGCACAAGTCCGAGCAAAACCAACCCAGCAGACAACTAACAAGATGCCCCCTTCACTTCACAAACACCGTATCTAGGTAAGCCGCATCAAATTGAATTGTCGTATATTCGAATAAAGAATAAATTAAAGTTAGTTCAGTGTAACTCTAGAATTTGATTAAATGAAACCCCAATAAACTACAGTTCCAAACAATTTACGCCAAGAGTTTTTTGAACCATGCAATGGAGTAGTCTAATCAAAAAATGGGCATCCCCTCTTCACCTTATGGACAAACTGCGACCACATCTTTTCTCTTTATCCAAAACGTCTTTCGTTTTAATTTTTCCTCAAAAATCTCTCACATGCCCATGTCCCCAGCTCCAAAACTCCTCTTCTTCCAATGTCACCTAAAATCCATATTATAATATTTTCTGACATGCCATATTCTTTGTTCTTTTACACTTTCCTATAATAATGCCCCCATTGCTGAATTAATTAATAAATTCTAACATTGTGTAAGGAATCTCTTCGCCCAACACATTCTTTTACTACTAGTATAAACTTCTCTGGTCTTCTTCCTTTTTTTTTATATACAGTGGCTATTATAGTTTTGCATCAATAAGATCTATACAAAGATGCAATTGAAATTTTTTTAGTATAGCATTGAGAAGTGGTTTAAGCTGACATAGATTTTAGAGGCAATCTTGAGAAAGATACTATCCACGAAAGTTGGTCGGATGTCTCTAAGAGTTTCTTGCAACATA